AGAAAATTAACATTTGACGTACTTTCTATCATTATAAACATTAAAACTTATTTTCAAATAAAATGTCAAAACTATTTAATTTAAATCAAATATAATTTATAAATGCGATGATTATTACCGGTAATGCTTTGTATAAATGTCAGAAATACTATCACCAACATATAACTTATAATACTTTATATTGCTAAATGTTAAATAAATTTCAATGCGTGGGAAATTTTAGATTTAAGGAATTTATAATTTAATGATAAAATTTAAAGTTTTAAATGACTAATTAAAGTTTAGTAACATTAATGAGGTCTAACTTAATTAATATTTATAAATAGTAATGTTAAAAGCTTTTGTAGAATTTTAGTTATTTAAATATTAATATAAAATACTTGGAAATTCATTTAGGCTATTAAGCAAATGATATTGTATACGATATTAACTACATAACAACATTACATAAGAATATGATTCTAGATATATTTTTGGGTACTATTATGTAAATATATTTGAAGTTATTTACAATAAGTTATATTTACATATGAATTAGTTAAGTAAGTAATTTGGCTAGTACTGTACACAGTATGTTGATGTTTGGTAAGAATACACAGTAGTATAAATATAATTTGAAAATATCATTTGATAGACAGTTACTACTTATTAGTGTGTCTATAGATGTTAAAGAACTATACCTCTAATAATAACTTAGTATAATATTTACGTATTTTATATCTAATAATAATCTTATCTATGGTTTATAATAAGAATCAGTTAAAAGAGCCTAACGTTTGATCTATCTTTAAGTCTTACTGTATGTCTGAAATGAGATGTCTGTCCAATGAATGCTTTTCCAATGCATTAACAAATCTATTGTCCTAACAGTTATAATAAATTGGTATTTAATACACTCATATTTTCCATGTTTCCAGTCACACAAACAGCCTACACATTCAGATATATTTGAATAAAATATTTCCATAATCCATTCAATTGATTCAATTTCAATAATAACGGAAAGTTTCACATAAATTCAGTGTTAAAGACCGCTAGAGAGACAACAAAGTTAATAACTATCGACAGACAGTATAGTTGTATTTTTATCACAATAGTTATATAATAAATGTAGTGTTAAGTGAGCGTTAAGTGTCAGTTAATAGACTGATTATTGTCTGCTTCAAAATAAGCTGCCATTCGCTAATCAATTAAATTTGTAATTCTTCTTGTTAACTTACTGTAAGGATAGCAAAATATTTTTATACAGTATTACATAAAATATATTAAGTAACTCTAAAATAAAAATACAGTATTAGAAATAAAAAATATAATATCATAAAATGACAATTATTTTAGTTGTCAGTCGAAACAGTAACAAAAAAAAGAGTGAAAAATATATTAGTTTTATATCTTTACATCTGACAACTTGTAACACGAAATTGAGATCAAATAAAATGAGCCAAAAATAGGTTTTAGAAAACTATACAATAATTTGACGTTTAGTTTGAGTTTCTCTAAAAAATCCTCAAATATTTATTTTCTTTAAACTCAATAAATCGTATTTACATTAAAGGAAACTAATGCACAAATAATTAATTTTCAATTCATTAATCAATTTCGTAACAACAAACAAATTAATATATATTTATTTAGCGTTCAATAAATTATTTTTAATTCCTTATTTTGTTTAAACAATTTATACGTATTTTTAATTAATTTCAAACTTTACCAGAATTATTGATATTTAGTTTAAAATAAATATGAGTTTGTCTTAAATCTATTGAGGATTGACTAGAATTTTACGTTTCCATAGAAAGTGTTTTCATTGCATTGAGTGCTTGTTTCAAGTTTTCACGAATCAATACAAAGTTTGCGTGGAATTGAAAACTCGATACAAATATCAAAAACAACTTAATTAGGATAATATGCTTTCATATCATTTATAATCATTGAAAAAGATTAACTCTTACTCGAAGTCAACAAAAATGTGTAATCATATATTTCTCGTAATTCTCATGAATATTATAACTTATTATGAATTTCATATTGCAAACAAACTAATGAATAGGTTTCTAATTTAATTAATTTGAAATGAATGCTACAATAAGTCCTCATATTATATGAATGGGGAGTGAAATGAATGCATACTTTCTCTCTGAATGACACGAAACTTCATGACGTCTTTGGATGTCTCGTAATTGTATTGATTAATAGCAATCACTTCAATATCGATGTCCTGATCGTCGTTGAGCGCCGGCGAGCCGTAGAGGTATGCCGCATGACTGCTATTGAGTTGCTTGTAATGCATCCAAACTGGCAAATCAGGCATTCCTAGTATCGATGGTATGAATTCAATGGCATCTCCCGGTGCTAAAGACTTGCTCAGAGCATCGGTAGTTATTTGCACGAAGAATGCTTGTGTGGTATATATGTTATAAACATCGGACACATCTTTTTTGACGTGTGTTTCTGTAAATATAGATTAAATTGTGAGCAAGTTAAATTGTGAATTAATCTTGAAAGTTTTATATTTTGCATTTTATGTGATTAGGAATTTGGTTTCACCACAGAATCTATGAATGCATTTGTTTTATTAAATTCATGCATACCTTGAGATCCGATGCAAACAAATGAAATAAAACTAATAACTAATTTCACAAACATGTTTATTAAAGTATAGTAATATTTATTTTAATTAACCCATAATGAAGATCACAATTCGTTATATCATATAATCTTATTATAATCACTGAAGTGATGCACAAAACAATTACAGCGCAAACGCCCCGTCCATTCGCACAGACATTACTTAAGAGTTAAACTCATGGATTAAATCTATTTTTAGATCGATATAAGACTTAAAGCAGTACTCAATGAATGCTTTCTACTATTTTATATATAAATAAGAAAATAAGAAACTAAAAGGTTTTTATTTAATTTAGTTCATTATTTGCTATAAAATTATTGTGTTTTTTGGATAATAGCTGTAAAACAGAGTTTAGTTTCTTAATGAAAACATTAATATCCTCTTTAGTGACACCAATGGCTGCGGCGGCTGTTATGTAAGAATCACTATAAGAATCGGTATGAGAGCCCCAGTTCTTGAACTCATATTTGCCAATAGTCTTCCTCTTGTCATCGATGGCCACAACTCGTGCTCCGGATATAGACCTCTTGAATAGCATTGAACCCAATTCTGTCGTATCGATCGATGAGTTGTCAAACATATTAAGAGTCATTGCAATCGATATCTGATTTGATTTATTGTCGATAACATTGACATTGAATTCGTTGGCAATTGTCTTCATTTGTTCCTTAAGATAATTGTAGTTCTCTTTGCGCTCATTAAGTAAAGCTTTATATCCATTGATTCCCAAATGTAATAAAGTCATTAACACATCCAGTGATGGAGTACTGGCTCCACGACCCGCATAAGTACTACTGATTTGATTGAGGAAATCGGTGTCAAAGCCGGCGATTATAGATCCTCCGACCGGAACCATAAAGTTCTTGTCTGTGCTCTGAATGAAGGCATCGATTCGTCCCACTCTTGAGGACGTTTCCAATAAATGCATACATTTTGAAGACTGTATTCCGTAGGCGTTGTTCACAATATGAGGAATGGATTCCTGTAAACATAACTTCGATATCGACGACAAGTCGTCGGCATTTCGCGGAGCAAAACAGGAAGTGGTCGACAAAATGCAGACAATCTTCTCGTTTCCCAACTCTTTCACCTTCGCCTCAATGGTCTTGAAATCAGTGTCGAGTGACTTATTGTCGTTCATTTGGGTGTCGATAATGACGGGAATGAATCCGGCGGTGAGAATGCACTTAAAGCATGACTTCTGGTCAATTCGGGACCAAATGACAAACCGTGCGTTCGGTCGGACGTGTCTTAAGGTCAAGAGGCAGAGCGTGAGACTCATGCCGGTGGCCATCGGCACCACAAAACAGGACCGAGTGTTGGGAACGCCAACCGATTGGATCACATCCAGCACTAGACTATTGGTTAAGACATTGAGAAGACTGGAACCGATGGCTTTGGGCTGTAGTTCGCAGATATCACCGGATCGACCGATTCCGTGACCCAACCGGTAATGTCTTCGTGAGACCAACTGTGAGGCAAATCTGGCCTCTCGTTCACCCAAACCGTAATTGTGGACAAAGTTATTGCTGTCCATCAGTGACAACCGGTTGACCAACAACTCGATGGTCGACTCATCCCAACCCTCTTTAGGACACTTCCTGTGTCTCAACAACTGCTTGATTTGGTTCTCACGAGTGGTCATCGACTCAAATGACTGGTCGGTGACTGACGTCTTCAGCAGTCCGCTCACTAACGACTTGAATGTGTCGTCCATTGAATCGTTGATTAAAACACGAGTTTTTGTATAAATAAATGATTTAATGATAAGAGTGTTAATCAATAACTGATTGTAAATGTGTTTAACACTAAACTTATCGCACGTTTTCATCACATTTTAAATGCCATTAATTGGTGCCTAAATCACATGTTAGGCACTGAATACACTTTTGGTACTTTTTATCACATAATGAATGCATTACAAAAAGGTAGTAATGCTTATATGAAAAGGATTAGCAAATCATGTTTTGACACATGAATCAAGTTTTGTTTATGTTTTGCTCACAAATTGTTTTCAAAGTTTTTTTGACATTTAAATGTGTTTTCATTAGTATTTTGTATTGAATTTAGTGCTCATATCGTAGTAATCAATGGATTCATGCGATGACTACGAACTGACATTAAGTCAACAGTTGTTTAATCTTCAGTTGGATTTAGAGAAACAACTGAAAGACATCGACAACCACTCCGACGATGCCATCGATGGGTCACGCGATGGACTCAAACAAAGTCTTGTATTTAATTATTTGGACACAATTTTAGACAATAAACTCGTTTCGGTTGAAGACTTCGGCGACGGTTTGTTTGCATTGAATTTACTATCAATGAATTGATCTCATAAGTGATGATATGTTGCAGACATGGATTGGCTGAACGTGTCATCGAGTCTATCACTGAACCGGCATATGAATGGTGTGATAGTGATACTGGACTTCTTCACGTACTGCTGCATCAATTGTCTGCATATTGTGCCCAAACTGTGCCAAATAGAGGATGAGTTTGCTCGGGATCCGGTTGTGGTGATTGGCGTCCATTCGCCCAAATTCTCCAACGAGAGACACATCACCAATGTTTGCGACGCCCTCTTGAAGTATAACATCACTCATCCGGTGGTGAACGATCCCACGGCTAAGCTCTGGACCAGTCTTGAGGTGCAGTGTTGGCCCACTTTAGTGATGTTGGGACCAAACGCTCACATTTTGTTCACTTTAGTCGGCGAAACAGGTGTCGACCGATGGCTTCACTTCTATACACAAACTTCTCTCAAATATTTTGAGCGCAAAAATTTGCTAATCAATGAAAATAAGCGCAAACTTCCCGTTAAACTACTGAGAGATTCATTTGAGAGACAGTTATTAGGCTTTCCCTCGAAGATTAGTGCCTCACGAGACCAGCAAATGATTGCCATTTCTAATGCAAAATATCATAATATAATTATCGCCACAATTAATGGCATAATAAAGCATATAATCGGTGGAAGTGAGCCGGGGTTTAGAGACGGGCCCTTTTCTGACGCGCGTTTCAATGGTCCCAATGGTGTTGTCTGGAGAGGTAATGATGTTGTGTTTGTGGCCGACACTGAGAACCACTCCATTAGAGAGATAAACCTCACCAATGGAACCGTTGCCACAATTGCTGGAAATGGGACAATAAGTGATGACAGAATTGGTGGTCAAATAGGTTGTGAACAGAGATTAAACTCTCCGTGGGATGTGTGTTATGGCGACAATTGCTTGTGGATAGCAATGGCAGGTTGTCACCAAATTTGGGTTCTTGTACTCGAAAACAATACTAAAGTGTTGGACAAAACCTACTCAAAGGGAACGTGTTTTAGTTTCGTTGGCAACGGTGCCGAAGAGAATCGAAATAACAGATACGGACGGAATGCCAGTTTCGCACAGCCCTCGGGACTGGCATTGGATGCCAAACATAATTATCTTTACGTCGCCGACAGTGAGAGCTCTTCTGTACGATGTGTTGACTTATCCAATGGATGTGTTTCTGGTATCGTTGGCGGTGATAGAGATCCACGCAATTTGTTTGCCTTCGGGGATAGGGATGGGAAAGGGATTGAATGTCGTTTACAGCACTGTTTGGGAATTGCTTTCGACACTCAAAACAACTGTCTGTTTGTCGCCGACAGCTATAATCACAAGGTTTTCATTAAACTTGAAATTCTTATTGATTTTTCCGTATTTTCTTAATATTTGTTTTAAATTGAGTTTTATTTGTATTTATTTGTTAACTTATTTTAAGTAACTAAAAAAGTTTTTAAGTATTAACACTAATGAACATTTTTGCGTTCAATTTTGAAAACAGATTAAGAAAATTGATTTATTGACAAAAATATGCGTTAGTATTGCCGGATCTGGACTTAAAAGCAATAACAGCCAATGCAAGCCATTTGAATGCACTTTCAATGAACCAAACGGATTGTGTTTAATAAATGACTGCAAACAGCTTATTATAACTGATACTAACAATCATTGTCTCAAACTTTTGGAATTGGAAAACGATTTGGTCAACGATTTTCATTTAATTCATTTAAATGAGAATAAAATATCAAATTCCGATAAACAGCCGGGTACATCGAAAGCGGATTTTATTATTAATTTGCATTCAATTGATTTGTGCACTAATAGTGAATTAAGGCTTCGACTGAACTTAGATTTTGGTCAACAAATCAAACTCACAGAAGGGGCCAAACAATCAATCAGTTTTCTAAATCCAGGTATTGTTTGATTTTGTGATAATCTCATGAATAAGAGGTTTTTAAATGATTTTGATTTGTATTGATTCAGATGATGATGTGTTTGTCATTTCTCACGAAAGGATCGATAATTTTGAACAAATCTCAGACTTTTCGCTCAAAGCTAAAGACACGGACATCGATGAGTCCGTCAACAGAAGCTATTTGTTTACAATGAATGCAAACTTTATTGTCTGTCACTCTGAACAAAATTTTTGTAAACAAATTTCCGCTGACTTTCATTTACCCTTAAATATATGTGATAAGAAAAGTGTCAATATGTTGATCGCAGACTTAAACTTTAAATTGGATTCTATTTAATGGATATTTTATTTATTCTGAGTTTTAATTTAATTTTTAATTTAGATTTTGAGAATTACAGTATTTTCTATTTATGCATAAATTATTACGATTTGGATATTTTTATACGGCATGCGTTTACAATGATGTATAATTATTGAAACAAACTTACATTTTTTACCCTAATAAAAATTTTGTTCACAGATTTCGACATTCAATTTATGAAATGTCTGTCATATGGAAACTTAGGTAATGGCTTGAATTCTATGGTAGGATTTTCTGACATTTGAATCAAGTTAAGGAAATTTTTGCAGAATTATTGCAATTTTTGAAAATCAAGACAATTACTGATGGATCGGTGACTAAAAAAACAATAAATTCATTGCAAACCCTGTGAAACACTTAAGAGTCTTAAGTTAAGATTTATCTGTAGTGGAAAATAATTTTTGTTTAAATTGGTTTCAATGCAATTAGATTTTTGGGAATTTCCACAAAATGCAATAAAATATGAAAAATAATTTTTAATTTTATTTTTATAATTCTATAGATTTTGTAGCTTTAAAATTATAATAAATTGAATAAGATATTATTTAAAAATGAAAAATATACAAGGTATACTACGGTACAATAGAGTAAATAGGGTTTAGTTTGATATAAAATAAAAATTAATTTGAAAGTTGTCTACAAAACAGTTAAATTAGAAATAGAAAATTGAATGACTGGTAAAAACTGAGATTTAGAGCAAATATGTGAATAATTATAAGTTTTAGTTTTAGTTAAAGTTATTGAACGATAGAATATGAGAATGAAACGGATGTTTGCAATGAAATTAAATGATTATTTAAACCATCGCATGATATATAAACTAATTTCAAGTGCACTCAAAAATTTAAATCCGAAATCAAGAGAAATGTTAGAAAGCAGTGAATTGTCGGGATTGTTGTGAAACCGATGCCATAATGCGGTTAATGTATTCACATAACCAGTCGCTCGACTTTTTGTGTATTTTGTTGATCAGGATATCGAGAATTAAAAGATTTTATTTCTTATCTATAATTTGTGTTATTTATAGTTTTGTTATTAAAAAATCAAATAAAATCAAATTGAAGGACGTTTTGGGAAATAATTGCCTCATTTCTAGAGGAAAGTCTCACATAAATTAAAAATCATTTCACACTCTCTTATAACATGTTATGTTATTATAAAATTTGATTCTGTGTTTGAAAGTTAGAAAATAGTTTTGTCGTTAAATACCATAAAACATAATCCAATATATAGTGCAGTATTGGGGACATCATATTCTTCCGGACACTTTGTCGTAGTGTTTATCCCATTAACACATTACTTGTGTCTTATATTTTCAAATATTCATAATTACATTCAATTCTTTCGTATGAAGTTCTGATAAAGCATTTTTCAATTATTTTCAATCATTTATTTTGTAAATCATAATTTTTTTATTATTGTAGAAGTGATTAAATATATTGGCAAGAAATGTAAGTTTGTTATTTTTATATACAATATTTATAAATTGATTCAATATTTGAATTCTTTATTTGAAATATTATTATTTCAAACAAATATAAATTAATATATGATTTGTATGATTTTCTAAAAATTTAAGCTCATATATCATACTTCATTGAATAATTTGTTTGAATATATTTGGTATTTAGTTAAACTAATTGTTAGGATAAATAATCAAATACTTATATTAAGTTATATTAAATTATAGAATAAATTGCTTATAAACTTATTAAAAATTCAAAATATACATGTTTTGTATGAATTGTCATTTATAAAAGATGTATTATACTGTATCTCATTCAAGACCCGGATATTTATCTCAATTATAATCGCTTTTAACCCATTTTTTATTTACTCTTATTTACTCAATAGATTTTTCATAAAATTGTGACTTTCATTAAATCAGAGAAAATAATTTACATATAAACTCAATACTGTATATTCTTTAAAATATTATTTTACTTTTTATTTAATGACAAAATTTGCTAATTTTTGTCAATTCACCATTTTTATTAATTTTCATGAAATAATTTTTTTACAAATAATGCAATCATACAGAGAGTAGAATAGAGGATCCGGTTTAGGTTTAGGTTTCATTTGAATCCATTTTATAATATGAAAAAGAATTTCCTTATAATTTAACATTTTGTCAAAAATATTATATTTTATAACTAACTTAATATCGAGTACAACTGAATAAAAACTTTTAACATACAGTATATTAAATTAACGATGAATACAAAGTCCACAGACTACTAGTTATGTAATAATTATATAAATGTTTAAATAACAGTTATCTCTTATTAAATGAAATTGAAATGAGTCTTGAATTAGCAATTAATTTGAGTACAATCCTTACGATGTGTACAAAAAGCATTCACGCACTTGATGTCAAAAAGTTTTCTTAAGATTACTATTAATTATTTATTGATAATATAATATCTAGAAAAATTAAACTTCATTTATAATCTAGACATTAATTATGGAGATTTGAACAAGAATCTGGATAAATAATATGATAATTTTATACGTGTATATCATACAAATGTATAATATCAGTGATAATAAGTATAAAGAATAATTGAAACAAGTATTTCATAATTTCTTTAATCATAACAATTTGGCTTTCGATCCAATTTTAAATTTAAATTTATAGTAATGTTTATGGTTTTCCATGATTTATACCATTAGATTTACTACACATTTGAAAATATATCAAATAAGTTAGTCTAGTATTGGTTAGAAAATTAGTGTATACATATAAGTACTCACTAAAAGGTACGACAGGTGTTCACAGAAAACAGTTTTTAAAATAAATTCAACAAATAGTGACTCACTTAGCATTTGCCTCTCATATAACATACCTTACAATCTGTCGATTGAGTGATAGATTTGATTACATAATGAAAACATTCACTCATTATTATTACAATTATATCGACATCTCATAGCCTACTCTCACACATCACGCCATTCATTGAATCACAAACTTTTCCATTCATTTCCAATTCATTTGAATCCGTGTTCATCATTGTCTATAATATACTGTTCTCGTATACCCCACACATTCATTCATCTCATATTTTATTAATTATGCAAAGTTTACAAACATTACAAATGGACTTAAAGTAAGTTTTAGTAACTTTTACTTGAAATTCTGTGAGTTTTGTATTGACACAGAATATCCAATATCTATGAAATGCTACACATTTGGTGTATTAATACTCGTCTCTCAAATGATTATACATAGAAATATCAAATTGACATTAAGTTATCAAACATTTGTTATTTTATCATATTTTACATGAATTATTGATTTGTAGAAAGTGTAAGATAGGGATGAAGTGGGGGTTCACCCCCTCATTACAGGTAGTCTATAGTCGTCTATAGTCTAGAATTAATCATTTCATACGATATTGTACTGAACGCGTGAATCCCATATCACAGAGTCTATGATATTCTGTACGAAAATAGCAATCATTTGATGACAATATGAGACATGCGTTCACTTCATGTCTAAACAAATCAATTATTTTCTTGCATTCATTTCATTGCAAACTATTGAACCAATCGTTTATTTATTTATTTATATTCACTTCAATTGAATTGATAATCATTTGAGATCTTGAGACCAAAACTCACTTTTGGGTCAAAATAAACAAAATGTCAATCAATTGAACCGATTTATCAGTTCATTACAAGTATTGATGTCTTGGTCTTTGAATTCATTCATATATTCACTCATGTATTGTATGATTGTATGGACAGGTATTGTCATAACTCGGATCCACTGATCAATCCTTACCGAAGACCGAGTTATGTGAAGAGGAGGAAGGAATTGATCGCTAATATGATGGCAACCATTAATGGACTCATTACAGGTAGTCTATAGTCGTCTATAGTCTAGAATTAATCATTTCATACGATATTGTACTGAACGCGTGAATCCCATATCACAGAGTCTATGATATTCTGTACGAAAATAGCAATCATTTGATCACAATATGAGACATGCGTTCACTTCATGTCTAAACAAATGAATTATTTTCTTGCATTCATTTCATTGCAAACTATTGAACCAATCGTTTATTTATTTATTTATATTCACTTCAATTGAATTGATTATCATTTGAGATCTTGAGACCAAAACTGACTTTTGGGTCAAAATAAACAAAATGTCAATCAATTGAAGCGATTTATCAGTTCATTACAAGTATTGATGTCTTGGTCTTTGAATTGATTCATATATTCACTGATGTATTGTATGATTGTATGGACAGGTATTGTCATAACTCGGATCCACTGATCAATCCTTACCGAAGACCGAGTTATGTGAAGAGGAGGAAGGAATTGATCGCTAATATGATGGCAACCATTAATGGCACGAATACTTCCAGTACTAAACCCATGGGCGGCCCACGTATGTCAGTCCACCTGATGCTGTGCTTAAGATAATGAATGTATTTGAATGTGTGTCGACAGCAATGCCATGGTTTGGGATGGACATCGGCGGGTCACTCGTCAAACTGGTGTACTTCGAGCCCACAGACAGTTCTCCCGCAGAGATTGACTCGGAATTGGAGACACTGAAGAAGATCAGGCATTACCTGAAGAGGAACTCATCGTACGGAAAGACAGGCAAACGTGACGTTTACCTGCAAATGGATAAGTGCTGTATTAATGGCAGATACGGAACCCTTCACTTCATCCGATTCCCGACTTCAGAAATGCCTGTTTTCCTAAAACTGGCCAAATCTAAAGGCATGGCACACATGGCCAGCACTGTCTGTGCCACTGGTGGCGGTGCCTTCAAGTTTGAGGCAGACATCAAACAACAAGTGAATCTCGATTTACATAAATTCGATGAATTGGATTCACTCATCCATGGGATCCACTACATCGAGGCCTATAACCAACACGAGTGCTACTATTTGTCGGATCCGTTGGACGACGACAAGTGCACTAAAGTTCCCTACGATTTCAGTCATCCCTATCCCTTCCTTGTTGTGAATATCGGCTCCGGAGTCGGTATTCTTGCCGTGTATTCGCCCGAGAAGTACAAGCGAGTGAGCGGTTCCAGTATAGGCGGCGGCACTTTCCTCGGCTTATGTGCTTTACTTACCGGTTGTGAGACCTTTGAAGACGCCATCCAATTGGCAGCCAATGGCGACTCCACTAAAATCGATAAATCCGTTCGTGACATATATGGCGGCGATTACTCCAAATTCAAACTCAGCGGTGATATCATTGCCTCGAGGTTTGACTCGTATTGCATGAGAGGTGTCATTGAAATGGCTTTAATTGTGTTGTCAATGATTACAGTTTCGGACACATGTGTAGCGCCGAGAAGAGAGCGCAGGCGACGCCGGCAGACATGGCCAGAGCCACACTCGTCACCATCACCAACAACATCGGCGCCATCGCCCGCATGTGCGCCATGAATGAGGGCATCGAGAGAGTGGTATTCGCCGGCAATTTCCTGCGCGTCAACGAGATATCAATGAAATTATTGGCGTTTGCGATGGACTTCTGGTCCGACGGCACACTGAAAGCCTTATTCCTCGAACACGAGGGATACTTCGGTGCCGTCGGGTGTCTACTGGAGCTCATGAAGACTGGCAGTTGATATGTGCGACTCTTATCCAACGAAATCATGGATTTTTAAACTAATTTGCAATTGTTTTATCCCATTATTAGAATAGATTTCTTTTAATAATTATATAAAAGTTTTAATCGATTTTTTTTCATATTTAACTCAATATTATAAAACGTTAAATAATTTTGAAAAGTTATATACAATGATTTGTAAATAATTTTTCGTTTTTAATACAATATAAAAGCTGACTTCAAATGAATGAACAAATAAGTTATAAGAAACTTCATTCCAAGAGAAAAATATTTATAAACTTTTTAAAATTACGGTAATAATTAATTTATCAGAAAAAGTGTGTAATTATTCCTAGAAAATAGTTTAATAAAACGAATGAACGCATTGTTTATTGTATTAACAATAAAGATATTTATTTGCAGTCAAATTCAAATATCTTTTGTCCCTTCACTGAAGGAATACTTTATATAAAATCAATAAACTAATTGTTTGGGAATTAACCGTTTGTCTAAAACAAACAACAAATCCCTTGCAATTTGATTTTAAATGAAAAACAATAATTCATCGCTTAAAAGTCGTCCAAATCGTCGTATTCATCAAAACCGTCCGTCAGGTCTAGTGTCTGGAAGTCAACGCGATATCGGAGTATACCTGAAGTCACAACAAATATAATCATTTCATTAAATCTCAAATATCAACGAATTATCAATGATTTAACACATTTAAAGGTTTTGTTTGTGCTTATTGTCTATTCATTTGATTTCAAAATTTGCTTCTATTCAACGAAATGCCAATTAATCACACTTCAAGTAAAACCATAAAATTTCATTAACTGTAAGTCATGTGATTATTATTTAGAAATCAAATCAAATACTAATGTAATGAACTAATTATTAGCGAAAAAGAAAATCCAATTCAAAAACAAGTGGTTTATCACTAAAATGGGAAAATGTGTTGAGAATGAGTGCACTTTATATACAGATTTGGTTGAAACAGAATCTAATAAACTCATTGAATTGACACCAATCGACAACTTGTTATTCTTTGCACTCAAACCATACATTACGAATGAACGCATTGTTTATTGTATTAACAATAAAGATATTTATTTGCAGTCAAATTCAAATATCTTTTGTCCCTTCACTGAAGGAATACTTTATATAAAATCAATAAACTAATTGTTTGGGAATTACAACGTTTGTCTAAAACAAACAACAAATCCCTTGCAATTTGATTTTAAATGAAAAACAATAATAATTCATCGCTTAAAAGTCGTCCAAATCGTCGTATTCATCAAAACCGTCCGTCAGGTCTAGTGTCTGGAAGTCAACGCGATATCGGAGTATACCTGAAGTCATAACAAATACAATCATTTCATTAAATTTGAAAATGTCAACGAATTATCAATGATTTAACACATTTAAAGGTTTTGTTTGTGCTTATTGTCTATTCATTTGATTTCAAAATTTGCTTCTATTCAACGAAATGCCAATTAATCACACTTCAAATAAAACCATAAAATTTCATTAACTGTAAGTCATGTGATTATTATTTAGAAATCAAATCAAATACTAATGTAATGAACTAATTATTAGCGAAAAAGAAAATTCAATTCAAAAACAAGTGGTTTATCAGTAAAATGGGAAAATGTGTTGAGAATGAGTGCACTTTATATACAGATTTGGTTGAAACAGAATCTAATAAACTCATTGAATTGACACCAATCGACAACTTGTTATTCTTTGCACTCAAACCATACATTTCATTGAAAGTAATGCAAAAAATCAATTCCAAAGCGTGTATTCAATTATTTTCCAATGCTTACAACAAAAATAATCTTATCATTCGTTAACATTTAAATGTAAATAAATATAGAAAATAAAAATGTGTTCAAAAAACAATTCAGTCTTTGATACTGAAACAAAAGTCTGCGCCCTTTAAGACTAATAATTTACGGTATAATGAAATCCTGTATTCATTTGTTACTAGTTTATAATGATTACGAATTCATTACACTGACAGCAACTGAATCGATCAAAAGACAGTGTCATTAAATGCTAGTATTTATGGTATAATAAAACTCAATTCATGTTTGGCATTGGATTCCTGTGAGGGCCGGACAGTCGACATATTCCTTGTATGACTGGTGTTAGGAA